GGCACCCCCGCGAGATGGTCGGGATCTCGTGGGCGCCGACACTGGCCGCGCGCAGTAGGGTGGGAGTGCTTTGGGCACGGCTGGGAGGAGGAGCCGAGCAACCGAGAGCCCATGGACCGAGAAACGGTGTTCGACAGTAACATCGAGTGTGGGGCACCACCCAATTTCGCTGAGATGCGGTTTTGACAATGCACCGGGTATGCGGACTGGCAGCCCACCGTGATTGTCCCTGTCAACATCAACTGCTCGAGTATAAATTTCTTCCTCCCTCCTCTCACCCCGTGTGCCTGGCGTGCAATTCCTTCCCTCCCCTCCTGCATCCTAATGCTGCAGCGGTTAGCTGCCACACCGGGGTGCTTTCCGTGCCTGGCGTGCACTTCCCCTCCTCTCCTCCTGCTTCCTTGTGCCTGTGTGCCTGGCGTTTCCGCGTTTCCCTTCCGCCCCTCCTGCATCCTAGTGCTGCAGCGGTTAGCTGCCACACCGGGGTGCCTACCGTGCCTGGCGTGCACTTCCCCTCCTCTCGTTTGTTTCACCGGATTTATCCCGCGCGGCTGGGGTTGCTGCCAATACTGCTGTCTGCTGGTGCTCTGGCAGCTTGAATTCCATGCAATGATCACACTGGGAATGGGCGGTCAGGTGGCCCCTGGCCTGCTCCTGGCTGGTGTCGGCCTCCACTGGTGACCGATGGGTTCAGTGGGGTCTCGCTACGAATTCCATGCATGGATCACACTGGGAATGGGCGGTCAGGTGGCCCCTGGCCTGCTCCTGGCTGGTGTCGGCCTCCACTGGTGACCGAAAGGGTTCAGTGGGGTCTCGCACGCTGCCGACCTCCACGGTGCTTGGACTTCGGCATGTGTGGCTCGGTGCGCCCGTCGGCTGCTTTCTCCTGCAAGGACTTCGCTTTCGACATGTGCCACTGCTGTACAAACAAGAGGTACTGCCGTTTGCAGTCCTATCTGTGACGAGGTTGCCCCTCTTCACGCTTGCGCTGACACGGTGCAGTTGTGTCGCCTACGGCACGGACGTCGTCAGGGTGTGCCTGTCGGTCCTGCTCGTCTCTGACGGCGCCTTGTGCCGACTCACACCGAATGATTGACCTCTGCGTGTTTACGGTCGCGCCGCCGCGCCATTTTGGCCGCGCTTGCTTGCTGGTCGCCATCGGGATCTCCACGCCACCGGGTTGGGAGTTTCGTTTCTGGCTCTTCTTCTGAGTGGCTGCCCGCGCGCTCGCTTCGCTTGCCTCTCTTTCTTGCTGCCTAGTCGCGGCCCGACTAGTGGTCGGACGGCTTTCGACCTGCTTCGCGAGCCCGCAGACCAACAAGTATCCCCACCAGCCCATTCAGAAGCCCTGCCCACGAGAGCTGACGGGAGAAGCGACGCAGGGACACAGCTAGGGAAATAAAGCGAGCAACCAGGATGAACCGAGAGATCTCTGGGAGCAAGGGGGTGGCCTTGGAAGGCCTCTTCGGGCCATCCCTGGGGGCCGCGTGGGGGCGAGATGAAGAGGAGGAGGAGGAGGAAGAGGAGGAGGAGGAGGAGGAGGAGGAGGAGGAGGAGGAGGAGGAGGAGGAGGAGGAGGAGGAGGAGGCCTCTTGTGCGCTTCCTGGGGCACTCTTGGGGCCTCCTGGGGGCTTCCTGGGGGCCTCTTGGGGGGTTTTTGGAAGCCTTTGGGGGCTTCTCGGGGGCCTCTTCGGCTGTCTTAGGGCATTCCTGGCTTGTCTGACGCCGTCGGAAGCCGTCTTGGGGGCCTGTCTGGGTCGTCTTGGGGCCCTCTTGGGCATATCAGGGGTTCTTAGAAGCCATCTTGGACGTCTTGGAAGCCTCTTGGGCCGTTTCGGGGCCCTCTTGGGGCTGCCTTGGGGGCCTTTTGGGCAATTGGAAGCCTCTTGGGCTATCTTGGGTGCCTCTTGCGCTGTCTTGAGCCGTCGGAATGCCGAGAAGAAACACATGCCAATATCTTTCAAACACCGATGGAACATCAATGAGTTTGGCCTCTTCGTGCCCTCCTGGAAGACCTCCTGGACGCCTTTTGGGCCGTCTTGGAGGCCTCTTGGGGGCCTCTTGGGCCGTCTAGCGCCATCTTGAGGCCATATCAGGCCGTCTTGGGTGCATCTTGGGCCGTCTTGGAAGCATCTTGGGGCCATCTTAGCCGTCTTGGACACCATTTTGGCCGTCTGGGAAGCCTCTTGGGCCCTCTTCTGGCCGTCTTTGGGGCCTCTTGGGCCGTCATGGTGCCATCTTGGGGGCCTCGTGGGCGATCTTGGGGGCCTCTTGGGCCGTCTTGAGCCGTTGCCAAACTCGTTCAAACACCTTAGGGAAATCAGTGATTTTGGCCTCTTCGGGCCCTCCTGGGGGACCTCTTGGAGGCCACCTGGGCCGTTTTGGAAGCCTCTTAAGGGGGCTTCTTGGGCCGTCTTAGGCCATCTGGAAGCCATCTCAAGCCGGCTTGGGTGCATCTTGGGCCGTCTTGGAGGCATCTTGGGGCCATCTTAGCCGTCTTGGAGGCCATCTTGGGCGTCTTGGAAGCCTCTGGGGCCGTCTTGGTGCCCTCTTGGGGCCCTCTTGGGGCTCTCTCGGGGCCCTCTTGTGAGCCCTGGAAACTCTCTTGGGGCCATTTTGAAGGCCATCGATCAAAGGAGGAGCTGGGATAACGTTCAGCCCCCCCCCAAAGAGGCCCAAATGGGACCAACACCTTAGTAACACCAATGACTTTGGCGCCCAGAGGGCTGGTGGGATAACGTTCAGCCCCCCCGAAGAGGCCAGAATGGGGCCAAAACCTTAGTAACATCCATGATTTTGGCGCACAGAGGGCTGGTGGGACATTTTTCAGCCCCTCCCCCAAGTTGGCCAAAATGGGGCCAAAACCTTGATAAAACCAATGATTTTGGCTTCCTCGCCGAGGCCGTTTTGGATGCCGAAAAAATCCAGGGGAGGGGTAAGGGGAGGGTTAAACGTCTCCCCGTAGGGGAAGTTTTTTTTTGTTGGGGGGGGGAAGAGGGAAGAGGAATCTCGTTAGACCACCTGTTGTCGCCCAAAAGGCTGGTGGGATTTACAAGGGATCGTGGCCCTGGGAGCGCGGACACAAAGTAATTCACGATGGAGCGCGGCCCTGGGAGCGCGGACGCAGCGTAGTTTACGTGGGATCGTGGCCCAGGGAGAGCGGACGCAGCGTAATTTACTAAGGATCCTGGCCCTGGGTCAGGGACGTCCCGCGGCACGTTCCCTGACGCGTTCTCTGGTACGTTCCCTGGCGCGTCGCCTGGCACGTTCCCTGGCATGTTCCGTGGCGCGTCCCGTGGCGAGTCCCCCTGGCACGTCGCGCGGCGCGTCCCCTGGCACGTCCAGTGGCGCGTCCATTGGCACGTTCTGTAGCGCGTTCCCTTGGCACGTCCCGCGGTGCGGTGCGTCCCCATGGCACGTCCCCTTGCACGTCCCCTGGCACGTCCCTCGGGACGATCCGCGGCGCGTCCCCCTGGCATGTCCCCCTGGCATCGCCCAGTTGCGTCTGCAATTGAGGTCCCGAGGAACGGTTCCGTGCCTCGCATTTCTCAACACCTCTCCGGGTTCGCGGGTCGATCTTTTTATTCTTGGGTTCAGATGTTCGGCCGCTGGGGGCCCTCGCCGGGCTCCGGGACGTCAAAGAACTACCCGGGGTGCAGAGCTGGTCCCTGGGAAGGGGTCAGCACCTCCGGGGGTCCACGCCGCGAAAAAATGCGGAGTCGGAGATCTGAGGAGGTAGGATAAGGCAGTAGGTGCAGTTAGAACGCGGCCACAGGAACGTGGGTCAGGAGCTTGAGTCCCTTTGCCCAAGGACCAGGGCCCCAGGGATCTGTCCGCGGCGAAGAGCATCCCAACGTGGAAAACCCGAACACGCATAACACAAGGGTACCCCTCCAGAGCTGGGGCTGTTCTCAACCCTCGTGCCAACTGTAGGAGGACATATTCGGTAGGAGGAGGTCAAGTTGGCCAGGTCGAACGATTCAGCGGTCTTTTTTTTGGCTCGCCCCGGATCCATTTTCGTGGCTCCTGGGCCTGGCCGCCAGTGGCTCCCGCTGCCAGGGACCGCGGCCCGAGACGACGACAACGACGACGACGACGACGACGACGACGGATCCATTTTTCGTGGCCCCTGGGCCCGAAGACGGCGCCCTCGTGGCTGACAGCGGCGACGAGCGCCGGGATCGACGAGACCAGATGGCGCCAGGGATCTGGGCCTCCGCCGGGGCCCTCTTTGGTGGCGGGCCGATGCCAGCGAAGGGTCGACAGCCGATGGCCGCGTGAGCGACGAAATGACGCACACGGGAGCAGGGCAGCGGCCCGCCGCGGCGGCCCGCGAGGCCAACTCCCGAGGGCCCGTGCCTGCTCGACCGCTGCCAGCCCAGCGCCCAGCGCCCCGCCGGGTCTCTTGCGCGAGATGGCGTGGCGACCTTGCGCGGCCCGCCAGCGCGGCACGCCACATGGGAGAGGAGGGCGCTTACGCGAGGCCTCACGCAGGCAGCCTGCGCGCCAGTGTTGGCGCAGACGACCCCCTTTCTCTGCGTCGCCCACGTGCCAACGTCACTGGGGAGAGCCCGCAGTGCAGAGAGGAACGCAAAAGCCCGCACTAGCCCCGTGCTCGGGCAGGACTTGGGCAGAGGGGGGAAGAGGAAGGAATAGGAGGAGGAGGAGGAGGAGGAGGAGGAGGAGGAGGAGGAGGAGGAGGAGGAGGAGGAGGAGGAGGAGGAGGAGGAGGAGGAGGAGGAGGAGGAGGAGAGGAGGAGGAGGAGGAGGAGGAGGAGAGGAGGAGGAGGAGGAGGGAGGAGGAGGAGGAGGAGGAGGAGGAGGAGGAGGAGGAGAGAGAGAGAGAGAGAGAGGGAGAGAGGCAAGAGAACGAGAGGTAGAGATAACAAGGCATATGTGGCATACTATACGAGCTCGCTGGAAATCGTACCGCCCCTGTGCATGTGGACGAGCCTGGGCCGTCCTCCCTTGTGCCGAGAGCGGGTTCTCCGCCCCTTGGCCTCCGTAGTCTTGCAAGAAGCCTCCAGGCGGGGTCGCCTCGAACGCCTTGAGCCTCCCGGCCACGAGGCGGCCGCGCGCCGCGCCCTCGACCTCCACCTGCATGTACAACGAAAGCCATGGCGAGGATACGCTCGGATGCGGCGGAATCTCGGGGGCGCGCCCGGGGGGGAAGGCAGAGGGGGCGGGCCTTCCCAGAGGGCTCAGAGGGCCTGCTCCGAAGCCACAAGCGGCTTCTCCTGCTCCTCCTCCTCCTCCTCCTCCTCCTCCTCCTCCTCCTCCTCCTCTTTGTCCTCCTCCTCCTCCTCCTCCGCCTCCTCCTCCTCTTCGTTTCTGAGAAACCTCGCCGCCTCCTGAGAAGGCCTGCCCCCTCGCACTTCCCCTCTCTCGGCGTGCCGCCGGAACCTGGGAATCTCTGAGAGCTGGCAGGTCTGGAAGACGTACAGGTCGCCGCGGCCGTTCCAGAAGACGCTCCGAGAGTGCGTGCTGGGACACTCCGAGGCGGACGTCCGCGTCCATTGGGCCTCCCTGCAGGCACCTGCCAGCCGAAGCGCAGGCGGAAGGTGAGGTTGAGGCTGGGCTCGTGGTGGGTCGCCTCCCGCACGACGACGGCGACGACGACGAAGGCCACGACGGCAGCGGCGGCGACGATAACGACGACGAAGTACACGACGAGACGGCGCGAAGACGACGACGACGGCGACGACGAAGACGACGACGACGACGACGACGAGCGACGCGACAACCACGGCCTTGCCGATGACGAGCGCCTCGAAGACGGCGGCAGCAACGACGGCGACGACGACGAGCGACGACCACGGCGAAGCCGACGGCGACGGCGGCGGCGAAAACGACAGCGGTGCGGCAGGGGTCGGAGCGGGCCGCCTCCCGCAGCGCCAGCGCGCCAAAGTCTGCGTCGCCCGCACCGGTGGCCCCGGCGCCGCGCGCCACCTGTGGCGCACACCGGGCGGTGCCGGCGGGGGCCTTCGGGGGCCCTCGGCGGCCCTCGGCGGCCTTCGGCGGACCTCGGCGGCGGCGCCGCCGCCCCCTGCGAGCCCAGCGCAAAGGTTTGCCCCCGAAATGGCTCGAGCCCAGGGTTCTCTTTTAGTATTTGTGCTCTCCGTTTCGACTTGAAGCGGGCAGGCGAATTTCCGTTCGATCAGAAACAAGGTAAAATCCAATTCGGCGTGGAACAGATCCGTTTCGCGTGTCCGCTCGAGGAAAGTGCGCGTCCGCAGACACACGTCTTCCCATATAAAAAAACGGGGTGCGGAGCGTTTTGCGCAGAATCAATGATAAAACACGAAGTATGGAGACCCAAACGTTGTACGACAAATATGAATCGATTGACTTTGTGCGTGTCCGCTCGAGGATGGCGCGTCCCGCGCGCAGGAATGTCGAGGATGTCTCGAGCCCCACGCTTGTGTTGCAGACGGAAAGTTGGCTTTTCGCGTGCCCGCTCGAGGATGGCGCACCGTGCGTGCCGAATATCTTAGGATGTCTCGGGCGAAACGCTTGCTGTGCAACGCTTGAAAAGCCTGGGCGCCCCAGGATGCCCAAGTGGTTCTGGGAGTGCGGTCGGACCGTTATTTACAAAATTACAAAGGATCCTGGTCCGGGAGGCGCGAACCCAGTGTGACTTGCGAGGGATCCTGGCCCTGGGAGCGCGGACACTGCGCAATCCACGAGGGAGCGCGGCCCTGGGAGCACGGACGCAAAGTAGTTCACGAGGGGTCGTGGCCCAGGGAGAGCGGACGCAGCGTAATTCCCACCAGCCCTTCAGGGCGCAGGTGGTCTAGGGTGTTTTGTCTTCCATCTGCCCTTCTTCGCCTTCGGGGAAGGGTTTATCAGTGTTCCATAATAATATGGACACCCTCCCCCACCCGGCCAGCGCCCAACCCGAGACCAAGCTGACTCCATGCGAGCCCGCCTCCCGCCAACCCTGTCAAAAAACAATACAAACCGCACTCTGCCTCCACATTTGGAGCATGCGCGGCCAACCCGATGCGCCCCCCCTACCATCCCTGTCAAAAAAAAACAATACAAAGTACACTTTGGGGCAAAGTCTTGAGCCATGTTCGTGGGGCTCGCGAGCAATTTGGATTGTTTTGGATAGGGGCTGTGGGGGTGTCAGCATATTCCCTGCTGTGCGCAGGGCAACCATCCCTGACAAAAAGGCAATGTATATAACATGCACCTCGCGGTTAAATCTGGATCATGCGCGGGCATCCCGCGATCACTGTCAAGTGGTTTTTGACAGGGACGGCGGAGATGGTGGCGCGTGGCCTGCTGTGCGCAGGCCCACTGATGGGCATTGGTTTTCGACAAGGATGGCGGGGGCCGACATGTTTCCCGATGTGTGCTGTCACGTGCGCAAGCGCACCTGGCGCACTCTGCACGTGCCCCGAACGTGGCGCACCTGGCGCGGCTGGAGTGTGCGGCACACCTGGCGCACTCGGAGCACGTGGCTCGTCACGCGCACCAGGCGTGCCTGGCACGCTCGGTCCCCAGGGGTGCCTGGCGCGCGTGGCGCACCTGGGGTCCGCTTATTGGTTCCCAATAGCTGTCCATCCAACGACGACCGCTGAACATGCTCAGGCTCGGGTGTTACTTATGTGTTGGGAGGGCGGGTGGGAGTGAGCTAGACGGCTTGCGGTCGGGTTAATAGCTTGAACCCTCCAAAATTACACATTATGAATACTACTCTCCCTCTTCCCCTGATGACGGCCTGGGAGTGTCCGACCCCCCCCGCGAACGGTTTTTTGACACACAAGTTTCCCCGGAGTTGGGTTTTCGCTTCCATTTTTACCTAATAGCGAAGACTGATCGGTTTCTAGTAGTGTCAAGAGAAAACATCTTGACTCCCCATGGGGGATCTGGGCGGGTGCCAGGGAGAAGCCGCGGAAGTCGTTTTAAGCAAACAGTTACACACTTCGTGGTCTTCGAGGTCCCAGAACTCCATTCCCGGGCAACATTCTGAATGCCCGAAGCCAACTGTAAGTCACTTCGTGCTCTTCGAGTTCCCAGAACTCCATTCCGGGGCCACATGTTGAATGCCCGGAGCCAACTGTAAGCCACTTCGTGGTCTTCGAGTTCCCAGAACTCCACTCCGGGGCCCCATTTTGAATGCCCGGAGCCAACTGTAGGCCACTTCGTGGTCTTCGAAATCCCAGAACTTTATTCCCCGGCCACATTTTGAATGCCCGGAGCCAACTGTAGGCCACTTCGTGGTCTTCGAGTTCCCAGAACTCCATTCCCGGGCCACATTTTGAATGCTGAGGCAGGCTGATGCTGAGGCTGAGGCAGGCTGAGGCTGAGGCAGGCTGAGGCTGAGGCCGAGGCTGAAGGCAGACTGAGGCTGAGGCTGAAGCAGGCTGAGGCTGAGGCTGCAGGCTGAGGCTGAGGAGGCTGCAGGCTGAGGCTGAGGCAGGCTGAGGCTGAGGCCGAGGCTGAAGGCAGCTGAGGCTGAGGCTGAAGCAGGCTGAGGCTGAGGCTGCAGGCTGAGGCTGAGGCTGAGGCAGGCTGAGGCAGGCTGAGGCTGAGGCCGAGGCTGCAGGCTGAGGCTGAGGCTGAGGCAGGCTGAGGCTGAGGCAGGCTGAGGCTGAGGCTGAGGCTGAGGCAGGCTGAGGCTGAGGCTGAGGTGAGGCTGAGGCTGCTGAGGCTCTGAGGCTGAGGCTGCAGGCTGAGGCTGAGGCTGAGGCTGAGGCTGAGGCTGAGGCTGAGGCTGATGCTGAGGCTGGCAGGCTGAGGCTGAGGCCGAGGCTGAAGGCAGACTGAGCTGAGGCAGGCTGAGGCTGAGGCAGGCTGAGGCTGAGGCTGAGGCTGATGCTGAGGCAGGCTGAGGCTGAGGCTGAGGCTGATGCAGGCTGAGGCTGAGGATGCAGGCTGAGGCTGAGGCAGGCTGAGGCTGAGGCTGAGGCTGAAGGCAGACTGAGGCTGAGGCTGAAGGCTGAGGCTGAGGCTGAGGAGGCTGAGGCTGAGGCTGAGGCTGAGGCTGAGGCAGGCTGAGGCTGAGGAGGCCTGAGGCTGAGGCCGAGGCTGAGGCAGACTGAGGCTGAGGCTGAAGCAGGCTGAGGCTGAGGCTGAGGCAGGCTGAGCTGAGGCTGGCTGGCTGATGCTGAGGCTGAGGCTGAGGCTGGCTGAGGCTGATGAGGCTGAGGCTGAGGCTGAGGCTGAGGCTGAGGCTGAGGCAGGCTGAGGCTGAGGCTGAGGCTGAGGCTGAGGCTGAGGCTGAGGCTGAGGCTGAGGCTGAGGCTGAGGCTGAGGCTGAGGCTGAGGCTGAGGCTGAGGCTGAGGCTGAGGCTGAGGCAGGCTGAGGCTGAGGCAGGCTGAGGCTGAGGCCGAGGCTGAAGGCAGACTGAGGCTGAGGCTGAAGCAGGCTGAGGCTGAGGCTGAGGCAGGCTGAGGCTGAGGCTGAGGCAGGCTGATGCTGAGGCAGGCTGAGGCTGAGGCTGAGGCTGATGCAGGCTGAGGCTGAGGCAGGCTGAGGCTGAGGCTGAGGCTGATGCAGGCTGAGGCTGAGGCAGGCTGAGGCTGAGGCCGAGGCTGAAGGCAGACTGAGGCTGAGGCTGAAGCAGGCTGAGGCTGAGGCTGAGGCAGGCTGAGGCTGAGGCTGAGGCAGGCTGAGGCTGAGGCTGTGACTGCGACTGCCGTTGCCACTGCGACTGTCATCGCGAATGCGACTACGACTGCGAGAACAGCAGACAGAATTCTACAACTGGATTATCATCTGAATCTTAAGGGGAATGCTTCCAGATATGCTCCTGCACATCGCTGTTAGGTTGCTTTGCCGGGCTAATTTTCCAAAATGCTGCTCGCGCTGAGGCGCCGGCCTCATTTTCGGGCCCCGCTCGTTCCGAATCGTGCTCCCGCTGCAGCGCTGGCCTCATTTCCGTGCTTCCGCTCGTTCCGAATCGTGCATCCGCTGCAGCGCCGGCCTCATTTCCGCGCTTCCGCTCGTCTCGACTCGTGCTCCCGCTGCAGCGCTGGCGTCATTTCCCGTGCCATGCCACGGCATGCAATGCAATGCTCGGTTGATGCTACGCTTTGCGGTGCTCTTCTACGCCATGCCATGCCTTGCTCTACAATGCATCGCGTACCCTTTCGGGATCATTGCCCTGCTCGACAACCGACTGTGCGAGTAGAGAGGGGATCTGCGCCATGGTAAGGGATGGGAGGGAGGGGTAGGATGTCAGATATGACGCGAGCGCACCTAGCTTGCCCTACCCCCATCCCCTGGATCTGGACGGGGCCGGTCGCGAGGTGTCAGGGCGTCCAAAACGGCCTCGGCGAGGAAGCCCAAATCATTTGTTTTACGATGGTTTTGGCCCCATTTTGGCTTCTTTGGGGGGGCCTCTTGTGGTGGGTACGCTAATGAAAGCTCTCCTCTTATTTGATCGATGTCCTCCAAGATGGCCCCAAGAGCGCTCCCAAGGCTTCATACACAGAATGCACAGCAGCAAGATGCCTGTGTCTTGGCTGCTAAAAACGAAAAGTCAAGGAAGAGGCGCGTCGCCGCGCTGAGCGCGGACGACAACGCCGGCTGGTCTGGGCGCCGGGCGGCCGTAGGGAGCCGACGCCTAGGCAAGCGACCGCAAGGGGTCGTGAATCATTGGCCGTGCGACGCGGTGGCTGGCGCCGCGCGTGTGGGACCACCTAGACCACCACCACCAGCAGACCCGGGGGGCGGATGGTGGAGGGCACGGGGGTCGTCGCCGTCCCGCCGAAGCCTGGTCCGCCGCGGGCTCTCCCCGGCCGCCTCGTCGCGAAGCCGCCGCGTCGCCGCCAAACCCAGGGCCGCCCCAGCCTGGCCAGAATCGCCCCGCTGGGAGGCTTGTACGGCGCCGTCAATAGGGCCATCCACCGGGAGGGGGCCACCAGAGGGGCGCGGGAAGCCGAGGGGCGCGGGAAGGCTTCCAAGAGCGCTTCAAGAGGGCCCCGAGAGGCGCCCAGGAGGCCTCAGGAGGCCCCAAGAAGCTCTTCAAAGCAGCCAAGACGCTCCAAGAGGCCTCCGGGACCGCCAAGAGGCCCCCAAGACGCTCCAAGAGGCCTCCACTGGCTTCCTTCGCGTGCTGCCCACTTCCCTGATCGAGGCACCTCCTCTGGGCATCGTTTCTGGATGGGCTGGTGGGGTTACGCGAAGCGTCTAGAGTTACGAAGGATCGCGGCCCTGGGAGCGCGGACGCAGAGTAATTCACGATGGACCGTGGCCCTGGGAGCGCGGTCGCAGTGTAATTTACCAGGGATCATGGCCCTGGGGGGGCGGACACAATGTAATTTATTAGGGATCCTGCCCCGGGGGGGCGCGGGCACAATGTAATTGACGAGGGATCGTGTTCCTGGTGGCGCGGACGCAGCGTAATTTACAAGAGATCGTGGCCCTGTAATTCACGATGGACCGTGGCCCTCGCAGCGCGAACCCACTGCAATTTACGAGGGACCGTGGCCCTGGAACATGAATCCTGCGACATTTCCGAAGGATCGTTGCCCTGGGAGCGCAAATCCAATGTAATTTTGAGGGGCCGTGGCCTTGAGAGCGTGACTCCCGCGTGATTTACCCGGGATCGCGGCCCTGGGAGCGCGGACGCCGCGTGATTTACGATTGATCGTTGTCGTGGGAGCGCGGACTCAGCGTTCCCTGGCACGTCCCCTGGCTTGTCCGCTGGCACGTTCCGTAGCGCGTCCCCCTGGCACGTTCCGTGGCGCGTCCCGTGGCGTGTCCCCCTGGCACGTTGCGCGGCACGTCCCCTGGCACCTTCCCTGGCACCTTCCCTGGCACGTTCCGTGGCGCGTCCCCCTGGCACATCGCGCGGCGCGTTGGCACGTTCCCTGGCACGCTCTGCTGTCCCGGTAAACTGGTGCTAAACCACAACCATAAGGGTAGACATAAGAAGCAATAATCGTCCCAACAAGACCATACCTAGGAGACTCAAAAAGCCTCACATCTGGTAGCCTGCCGTGCAGTATCCCAGGGACGGTGCATTGTCCCAGTACAGGGGAGCATCCCGCCGCAGACTAACGAACTGAGGTACAAACAAAAGTGCGGGGTCAAGATGGCGACCTCCACTGTACAAAATCCATCCTGACAGCAGGTGTAACTCCAACAGCAAGTACGATGAAGACCTTAAGCGAAATAGCGCAGCCCCATGGCCGCAGCCCGGCGATCCGGCGGGCTACCACAATAGCCGCACAAGTGTGAAGCTTGAATACGATCTCGCTGAAGATCAGACCGGAAGCATCAGGAGAAACCTGTAAAGCATAACCCCGTCTGTTGGAACATCCGCTCTTGCTGTAATCCCAGAGGCCCTCAAGGGGCGGTGTGGAGAGCGTCGCAATGGACATAGAGAAGCATGCCGTACTGCCGAAGAACATCACGTTGTACAGACATGCTGGTCTATGTACACATTGCGTCGCGAATTGTGGAACTTGCCGTAGGTTGATCAGCATCACGTGCGCCAAGAGCCTGCCTCGCCACCAGCACGCCCGTCACCCGACGAAGCTCTTGAAGACGTGCTGAGTCGGCCGTGCGATGGAGAACCCCACGGCTGGCCGTAGGCGCGTCGGGCTGGCCGTAGGCGCGTCGGGCTGGCCATAGGCGCGTCGGGCTGGCCGTAGGCGCGTCGGGCTGGCCGTATAGGCGCGTCGGGCTGGCCGTAGGCGCGTCGGGCTGGCCGTAGGCGCGTCGTGCTGGCCGTAGGCGCGTCGGGCTGGCCGTAGGCGCGTCGGGCTGGCCGTAGGCGCGTCGGGCTGGCCGTAGGCGCGTCGGGCACGTTCCCTGGTACGTCCACTGGGACGTTCAGCGGCGCGTCCCCTGGCACGCCACCGTGCGGCGCGGCACAGCGCAGAGTAGTACAACACAGCCCCCGGCACAACGTCATCACCATTGATGAATATCTTCAGCATTGCCACTGCCCATCGCCACATTGAGGTGCCTGGAAACGTTTCCATTCCCCGCAGTTCTGAATTCCGTTCCGGGTTCGTGGGTCGATCTCAAGGGCGTACCCTCGACGGCCCTCGGCGGCGGCGCCGTCGCTGGCGTGCGGGGCGGAGGGCACGGCGTCAAACATATCGCGGCGTGGCGCGCCAGATCCACTCGCGCCGACGCACAAGACACGACGGAAAGTCCTCGGCAAAATTCGGCCCAGGGGGGGCTCTCTGCCGGGCTCTTGGCCCTCGGGCATCGGCTCGGGACGAAGAGCAGGTCCTGCCAGGAAAGGGAAGGCCCGCCCGCGGCGACCGAGGGGTTCGGCTCTCCCTTGTCGCCCTCCCTTGCTGGGTCACCCAACTCCGCGGGGCGCGTCCCGTGGTGCGCGGCTGCTTTCGCGCCCTCGCGTCGTCGGCCCAGAGCAGGGCACCTCTGGGGCCCGGGCTGCGAGGCGCGAGTCCTCCCTCTCGCGATTGATCCCTCCCTCCGCCGCCTCTTGGCCACGCGCAGAGGGGGGTGGAGGGAGGGGGGAGGGCTTCTTAGACGAACCCCTGCTTCTTAGAAGGCGCGGGCCTTCTGTTTAGATGTAAGGCTGGCGCCTTCTAAGAAGCAGCCTCCTTCTAATAAGCCTTCCCCCCTCCTCCTACCCCCTCTGCGCGCCGCCAGGCCTCAACTCCGTCCTCCTCCTCCTCCTCCTCACGCTCCTTCTCCTCTTCGTCCTCCTCTTCATCCTCGTCCTCCTGCTCATCCTCGTTGTCGTCCTCGTCCTCGTCGTCCTCCTCCTCCTCTTCCTCCTCCTCCTCTTCCTCCTCCTCCTCCTCCTCCTCTTCCTCCTCTTTTCCTCCTTGCAGTCCTCCTCTTCCCCATCGCTCGCGCCAGGCGGCTGTGCTTGGCCAGTGTACCCACATGGGGCGCCCTCGGCACGAACTCCAGGCGCCCTGTGCGAGGATGCTGGGGGGGGCAACCCTGCGCGAGGCCCGTGGGCGGGCCACTCTGAGATCTGGCGTTGTCAAACAAATTGCAACATTGCGACAAATCACCAACGGAGCTCCAGACCCACACTCTCTGCGGCACTTTTCGAGCCGGACCGATCTGCGATGGTCCCGGGGCCCCAGCCTGGGCGACACCGTCCGGTGTGAGCAAAATTGCCGAGCCAAAGTCTCAGGGCAGAACGGTGGGTTCGCCTGCGCCATGTGGAGGCGGTCGAGCTCCTCTGGCGCGAGGTGGTGGAAGGACGCGGGGGGCACGCCTGAGCCGTCGAGGAGCCGGCTGCCGCTGTAGCGGAGCTCGGTGGCCACGCCCTCCGGGTAGAGGTGGGGGTCGTCCTCGACCCCGTAGCCTCGAGGCAGCGCAGACATGGATTGGCGACGCGTGGATTAGCGGCGGGTCCCGTTTCCGCAGGACATCGGCGCGCTCCGTTGCCAAATCGGGCGGCACCGGCCTCACGTTTCGGGGGGTGCGATCCGCGGATCTGGCTCCCGCGCGGCAGATCCGCGGGATTTTCAGTCCATGTTGGCGCGTGCCCGATGGCCGAGGTCCGCCACGCACTGGGCGACGCGGACGTCTCCCTGCCAGTTCCACGAGTAGGCCTGCCTGCATCGCTGCACCTGCCAGAGGAGCAGACGACGGTACAAACACGCGGTCGGGAGCTTTTGCTTAGCGTATCGCGGCGGCGGCGGCGGCTCCCGCGACACGCTGTGCACTGCGAGCCGACAGCGTGTCGCTCCGCTCCGCGGGGCTGGAGGCCCGGGAAAGGCTCGGGACGCTGACGCTTTGGGATTCGGAGGCGGCGGGCGTGTCTCGCCGGACCGTGGTGGGGTGGGCCAGAGCCGGCGGCGCGACGCGCCAGACAAGAGATCCCAACGGGAGCTCCGCGCGGACTTCTTGGGTCGGCGATGGGCCCCTGCTTTTAGGTCGGGCGTGTCCCCCTACAGGCGGATTCTGGACGAAACATTGAAGGTGTTCAAAACATACTTCGAACAATATTCAAACAATGCTCAAGAACATCGTCCCCAGACTATTTTCTGACAATTTTCGAATCTTGCTCCTGTAGATGGACATGCCCGACTTAACCCTTCTGGCGGCGCCTCTGGGGCCGCCCCTGGCGTGGCGCCGCAGAAGGGGTTCCGAAGAGCTGCTCCCAGGAACTCCGCCGGAACCTTCGAAACTCAATGTCTCCCCGCCGTTCGGAAGAAGTGGGTAGAACACATGAAAGGTAACAATCGGGTCGAAAAGGTGGGATAGCAAAGGGGGGGTTTGAGAATCAGCTCACGCAGCTGATTTTTCCTGGCGCCTCCCGGCGCCGGGAGGCGCCCATGTATCGAGGAACGGGCCCGACGGCGGGGCCGAAACCAGCGGCATGCAGCAGATTTCGTACCCCCCCCTTTCCCTATCCCCCCCTTTCGTTCGGCCCGAAACAAGGCGTTGAAAGGAGATTGGGCTCCTACCCGCTCCCCGAAAAGGAACGAGGAAGGGAACAGGAAAGGAAATGGGCACATGGGAATCCAGCACACATCTACTCTCAACGAACGATGAGCATGCCGCTGTTTCTTCTCCGAACCTCCGGCGCCAACTGCGCCATCAGGCCCTGGCTGATCGCGAAGCCGGCCCCGCCGATGGCTATCTCTGGCATCCACTGCCCCGGTAACACTCCGCTCAGACCCGGCCCGACGGGGGACGCCCAACCTATGTGCCGGGTGTTGCTAGAAATGGTCCGCGTTGCCGTGCGTTGCCAAGCCCAGATCTTGGACGACATGGTTACCGTCGTGTTTTTTCCCCGAAAGGGCTCCGGCCCAGGGTTCTCTTTTAGAGGTTTTACCCCCGGCCTCGACGGCTGTCGGCCCGGCGAATTAATTTGCGATAAATTACGAGGTCGAGCAGGGCCGGCGAATTAGATTATGACGATCTCCCAGGCGAAACGCTTGTTTTGCAGAAATTGTTGAGGATGTCTCGAGCGAAACGCTCGTTTTGTGTCATAGGTTGTCCTCCTGGGGACCAGATTTCAGGGGATCTCTGAAGTGGAATGCTTGCTTTCACGTGCCCAGGTCTTGAGGATGTCTCGAGCGAGCCGCTTGGTTTCACGCATCCAGGTTGTCCAGGCATATGTCTGGCATGAGGATTTGTTGAGGATGTCTCGAACGAGACGCTTGTTTTCACGTGTCCAGGTCGCCCAGGCGGATGTCTAGCATGAGGATGTGTTGAGGAAGTCTCGATCGAGCACGTGTCCAGGTTGCCCAGGCGGATGTCTAGCATGAGGATGTGTTGAGAATGTCTTGAGCGAAACGCTTGTTTTCACGCGTCCAGGTCGCCCACCAAGCGGAAGATGTGTTGAGGAGTCTCGAGCGAGACGCTTGGTTTCACGTGTCCAGGTCGCCCAGGCAAATTTCTAGCATGAGGAGGTGTTGAGAACGTCTCGTGCGAAACGCTTGTTTTCACGTGCCCAGGTCGCCCAGGCGCACGTCTAGCATGAAGATGTGTTGAGGATGTCTCGAGCGAGCCGCTTGGTTTCACGCATCCAGGTTGTCCAGGCATATGTCTGGCATGAGGATTTGTTGAGGATGTCTCGAGCGAGACGCTTGTTTTCACGTGTCCAGGTCGCCAGGCGGATGTCTAGCATGAGGATGTGTTGAGGAAGTCTCGATCGAGCACGTGTCCAGGTTGCCCAGGCGGATGTCTAGCATGAGGATGTGTTGAGAATGTCTTGAGCGAAACGCTTGTTTTCACGCGTCCAGGTCGCCCACCAAGCGGAAGATGTGTTGAGGAGTCTCGAGCGAGACGCTTGGTTTCACGTGTCCAGGTCGCCCAGGCAAATTTCTAGCATGAGGAGGTGTTGAGAACGTCTCGTGCGAAACGCTTGTTTTCACGTGCCCAGGTCGCCCAGGCGCACGTCTAGCATGAAGATGTGTTGAGGATGTCTCGAGCGAGCCGCTTGGTTTCACGCATCCAGGTTGTCCAGGCATATGTCTGGCATGAGGATTTGTTGAGGATGTCTCGAGCGAGACGCTTGTTTTCACGTGTCCAGGTCGCCAGGCGGATGTCTAGCATGAGGATGTGTTGAGGAAGTCTCGATCGAGCACGTGTCCAGGTTGCCCAGGCGGATGTCTAGCATGAGGATGTGTTGAGAATGTCTTGAGCGAAACGCTTGTTTTCACGCGTCCAGGTCGCCCACCAAGCGGAAGATGTGTTGAGGAGTCTCGAGCGAGACGCTTGGTTTCACGTGTCCAGGTCGCCCAGGCAAATTTCTAGCATGAGGAGGTGTTGAGAACGTCTCGTGCGAAACGCTTGTTTTCACGTGCCCAGGTCGCCCAGGCGCACGTCTAGCATGAAGATGTGTTGAGGATGTCTCGAGCGAGCCGCTTGGTTTCACGCATCCAGGTTGTCCAGGCATATGTCTGGCATGAGGATTTGTTGAGGATGTCTCGAGCGAGACGCTTGTTTTCACGTGTCCAGGTCGCCAGGCGGATGTCTAGCATGAGGATGTGTTGAGGAAGTCTCGATCGAGCACGTGTCCAGGTTGCCCAGGCGGATGTCTAGCATGAGGATGTGTTGAGAATGTCTTGAGCGAAACGCTTGTTTTCACGCGTCCAGGTCGCCCACCAAGCGGAAGATGTGTTGAGGAGTCTCGAGCGAGACGCTTGGTTTCACGTGTCCAGGTCGCCCAGGCAAATTTCTAGCATGAGGAGGTGTTGAGAACGTCTCGTGCGAAACGCTTGTTTTCACGTGCCCAGGTCGCCCAGGCGCACGTCTAGCATGAAGATGTGTTGAGGATGTCTCGAGCGAGCCGCTTGGTTTCACGCATCCAGGTTGTCCAGGCATATGTCTGGCATCAGGATTTGTTGAGGATGTCTCGAGCGAGACGCTTGTTTTCACGTGTCCAGGTCGCCAGGCGGATGTCTAGCATGAGGATGTGTTGAGGAAATCTCGAACGAAACGCTTGTCCCCAGCACGTTCCGTAGCGCGTCCCCTTGGCACGTGCCGCGGTGCGTCCCCCTGGCACGTCCCCTGGCACGTCGCCTGGCGCGTCCCTTGGGACGCTCCGCGGCGCGTCCTCCTGGCATGTCCCCCTGTCAATCAGCTCTGGGGCAGCTACTATGTGCTCAGGCAGCTCGAGATTAAGATCCAGCTCAGTTCGGTCAGGACTCGGGTGCAAAGGAGGACTGGATCCACAACGCTATAGAGCACAATCGCGGCATGGCACATCGCAGTTCAGCACGGCGCAACACAGCACAGCTCTCGGCACGGTACATCACGATCGATACACTCAACATTGCAACCTGGCACGTTCCCTAGCACGTTCTGTGGCGCGTCCCGTGGCGAGTCCCCCTGGCACGTCGCGCGGCGCGTTCCCTGGAACGTCCCGTGGCACGTCCATTGGCACGTTCCGTAGCGCGTCCCGTGGCACGTCCCGCGGTGTGTCTCCATGGCACGTCCCCTTGTACGTCGCCTGGCGCGTCCCTTGGGACGCTTCGCGGCGCGTCCTCCTGGCATGCCCCCTGTCAATTAGCTCTGCGGCAGCTACTATGTGCTCAGGCATCTCGAGCTTAAGATCCAGATCAGTTCGGCCAATAATCGGATACAACGAAGGACTCGATCCACAAGGCTATAGCACATCGCAGCACAGCACAGCCCTCGGCACTGTACATCTCAAGACCGATACGCTCAGCATTGCATTTGCCCGTCGTCCAATCAAGTGTCTGTGAAACGTTGCCATGCCTTACATTTCTATATTCCTTTCTGGGCCCATGGGTCGATCATGCTGTATCCTTTACATTTCTGCCGCACTACACATGTAGGCATCTACGTGTAGATATATGCATACATCTAACCGTGATAGGCCTTCGGGACCCCTCTAATAGTTGGGGACACGTGATCTTTTCGGCGACCTTATTGAGGGACTAGAGAACCACATGCTGAAGACCTGATATATCTCCGCGGCGCCCGCCGCACAACAACAACAACCACAACAACAACACCAACAACAACATTAACAACAACAGCAGCAGCAACAACAACATCACCACAAAACAGCAGCACCACCAACAACAACAACCATTTTAATATTGTTCGTTCCTATCTGCTCACGTGCCAATCAATACGTATATCCTAAGCCCTCGGTGCCCGCCCTCGTCGTCTTCGATCTTACCCCTTGAGGGTATATCTTCCTTAACTGCCACGTGCATGTAGCGCAGCCCCTAAAACGAGGGAAGAAAAGACAGGAATGGCGGAGGGAGAGTAATGAAGCACGACAGAAATTAGCAGGAGGGGGGCAAAGTGCAGAAAACAAATGGTAACACCTGACGGGCAAACCGGGTGGGCAGACCCATAACGGGCAGGTCGGGAAGGCGGGCCCAGGCGACCAGGTCGAGAGGGCGGGTTGCTGAAGCGTGGGTCCTGGAGCGCCGAGGGCGCACCGTCTGAATAAACTGCGAGGAAGTCCCACGCGAGAGCGCGATTCGTAGAGAAGTTGTGAGGAAGTCCCGCGCGAGAGCGCGATCTGGGAATACATTGTGAGGAAGTATCAGGCAGGAACAATGGTTAAAGTTTCATTATTGAAACATAATTATTGTTGATCCCCCTCACCGGTGCATGCTGTTTTTTGTCAATCAAAGTGTGCCCCTCGACGCTCGCACCTTGTTTTTTTCCAACGGAGAAACTTGATGCTCAAACTACGCCCCTGGCCCCACGGTTACAACAACAACGGCTCCCGCTTGAGACTTCCTCGCAATTTAGCCAGGACCCCCGCTCCCGCCCGAGACTTCCTCGTATTTTATTGAGGAATCGCGCTCTCGCTTGGGACATCACTACAATTTATTCAAGAATCGCTGTCCTGGCGTTCTGGAGTCGCGCTCTCGCTGGAGACTTACTTGCAATTTACTGAACAATAGCACATTTGCGTGGGAATTTCCTGCAATTTGCTGAAGCGCCGCGCTCCCGACACCTGGGCGCCCAGGAGTCGGTCTCACTCTTAGGACTCCCTCCCAAATTACCTAGGAATCGGGATCTCGCTGCCCTTCGTGGCCCCGTTGCTGCCCTTCGTGGCCCCCTCGCTGCCCTTCGTGGCCCCCTTGCAGCCCTTCGTGGCCCCCTCGCTTTGTTTCGTGGCCCCGTTCCAGCCCCTCGTGGCCTCTTCGCTGCCCTTCGTGGCCCCGTTGCAGCCCTTCGTGGACCCCTCGCTTTGTTTTGTGGCCCCGTTGCAGCCCTTCGTGGCCCCGCTCGTTCGCGCCCGTGGTGGCCCCATATGCATGCCCTTCGTGGCCCCGCTGTCGCCCTTCGTGGCCCCCTCGCTGCCCTTCGTGGCCCCGTTGCGGCCCTCAGTGGCCCCGTCCTTGCCCTCCGCGGCCTAATGTACGTATGCCCTTCGTGGCCCCCGCTCGTTCGCGCCCGTTGTGGCCCCATGTGCATGCCCTTCGTGGCCCCGCCGTCGCCGTTTGTGGCTCCCTCGCTGTCCTACGTGGCCCCGCTGCGGCCCTCAGTGGCCCCATCGTTGCCTTCTGTGGCCCCGCATTATCTGCCCTTCGTGGCCCCCGCTCGTTCGCGATCTTCGTGGTCCCATACGCATTCCCTTCGTGCCCCCGCTGTCGCCCTTCGTGGCCTACTTCGTGTCCTTCGTGGCCCTGCTGTTGTTCTCTCTCG